CAGCATAAGCTTTCGTGGGCTACAACCCACTTCTTCGGATGCACCAGAAGAAGTGGGTTGTAGCCCACGAAAGCTTATGCTCTAATAAATTTGTTAGTCTCTAAGGTGCCACAAGTACTCCTGTTCTTAATTCTTAAGAGAATAAGCTAGACTCCTGGTGATAGCTGCCTGAAAATTAGCAAGTTTAACCAAAGGTGATATTACAGCCAAATCTGAGTAAGAAAACCTCTTTAAGATGGCGCCTCCTTACAGTGGTGCAAGAATTCACACTGCAATGGATCACAGGCATTTACAGCTATAATAATCAAACTTCCTTCTGTCTGGATCCGTGCAGCATGACAAAAACAGCAAGGGCCACATTTTCAAAGAAGGGACCACTGGATGTACCTACCTATCAGCTGAGCCTGCCAAATGCTGTATGAACACATGTCAATTGGCATTTGTGCATGCCAGGGTGAATACACACATTGTTCCAGGTGCATCTGTGAGTCTTCCTTGGGCAGACTGGCCCCCAGAGAACTAAGCCATTACACCCAGAAAAGCTGAACAGCCCATACCTGCTGCTGTTAACTATCTCCTCTCAGGGCCTGAACCAACTCCCATTTTGTGTTTTGTAAATTGCTCTTCGCGCCCTGGGGTTTTGGTACTTATTTGCCGACATTGATTTTTTGCCCCTGTCAGGTATGCTACAATACCAATAAATAGCTTGGGGGTTTGCTGTTCTTATTACTTTATTTTTAACCAAGATCTTTGTCTAAAACCTTCCAAGATACAGTAAAATGCACCTCGGATTTTACAATGTACTGAATGGTATTGCTTCTTGGATTGCATCTCAAGCTCACAACCCCACTTTAAGACAGACAAGTGTGAGACCCAATCCAGTTCCAGCTGAAGTCAATACAAGTCTAGTTAATATTATGGGACAGGATTTCTTAGCACAGAGTAAGATTAAGAAATGTCAAATTCTCAAGGTACTGTATTCATCACATGCCAGTAATGAAATCTGGGTCCAGAACAACAGGAAACATATGATCAAATGAAAAACTATGTGGTACCCAGAGAATCAGAGACATTATACTCCCATTAAGAAGGATGGGAGATAGACTTCAAACTCTAGATATCAGAACAATCATAAGAGGATAAGAATGGCTATACTGGGTCAGACCAATGGTCCCTCTAGCCCAGTATCATGTCTCTGATAGTGACCAATGCCAGAAGTTTCAGAGAGAAGGAACAAAACAATTTCAAATGATCCATCCCCTGTCGTCCAGTCCCAGCTTCTGACAGTTGGAGTTTTAGGGACATGTGGAGCATGCAATTACATCCTTGACCATTGGCTAATTACCATTGATGGTGCTATCCTCCACAAACTTATCTAATTCTTTTTTTAACCAAGTTATACTTTTAGCCTTCACAAAATTCCCTGCAATGAGTTCCACAGGTTGACTGTCCATTGTGTGAAGAAGTACTTCCTTATATTTGTTTTAAACTAGCTGCCTATTAATTTCATTGGGTGGCCCCTGATTCTTGTGTTATAAAAAGGAGTAAACAACACTTCCCTATTCACTTTCTCCACACCAGTCATGATTTTATAGACCTCTATCATAAACCCCTTTAATTGTCTCTTTTCTAAGCTGAACAGTCCCAGACTTTTTAATCGCTCCTCATATGGAAGCTGTTCCATACCCCTAGTCATTTTTGTTGCCATTCTCTGCACCTTTTCCAATTCTAATATTTTTTGTTTTTGAGCTGGGGCGACCAAAACTGCATGCAGTATTCATGGTGTGGGCCTACCATGGATTTATACAGTGGCATTATGATATTTTTTGTTTTATTATCTATCCCTTTCCTAATTGTTCCAAGCATTCCATTACCCTTTTTGACTGCTGCTGCACATTGAGCAGATGTTTTCAGGGAACGATCCATGAGGACTCCAAAATTTCTGATCAATAAAAATCTATTGAATATGGTTTCAGCAATTAAAAAGTTATGCCCTCTAGGAGCTTTGCAAGGTTTGTCTGTGGGAATACATCAAGTTCTTTCCTCCTCTCTCCCCCTTTTCATGGCAAAGCTGCGTTAACAGAACAAAGTGGTCAAGGAGCAGCAATTTCTCCTCGGTTCCTTGCTTCCTGCTTTGTCTGTAAGGAAAGCAGCCCCCATGGATTTTACATTTGATCACCCATTTCCATGCCTCAGTGGGCTGGAGATTCAGTATGACAACAGGATGGAACCCAGAGACACCTTGAAGCGTTACACACTACTTAATGCTTTTTCAGACTGAGTTTTTATTCCGTTAGTATCAAAGAGAGACGGGCCTAAGCCATAAGGTGCCAATCCAAACATCCATGGAGCTTGGGGTGTCTGGATCCTGTGTTTGGTTTGGCCCATTCAGGGGTTAAGGTTAGGAGAAGCAAGTCAGGAGCACAACTCCTCCTTCCCTGCAAACAGATAGGAGCGCTTCTTTTCCACCCTGCCTTGGATAAGTAGCACTTCACAGACAGCTTGCCCTCTTCCTTTGCTGGGCAATGAGAGAGCTCCTGCCTCTGTTTCCATCCAATGTAACCACTGGTCCCATTACAGAAATGGAGTCGAGCCATGGAGATTGGATTGGGAACTGGATCCAAACCCAAACTTCCCTAAAGTGCAGGGGTGTTTGGGCCTGTGTCTACGATTACAGCAGTGTTATTTTTCTTAAGCGTTTTGCCACAAAGATGGTGCTTGCACATTTCAGCATTTTTCCTCACTTTTCCTTCCACAAAGGGAATTCGGACAAGGAGTGGGGGAACTCCTTGCATTTTGCAAATATTATTGTTAAAATGCCTTGCACAACTACATCATGGTAACCAATTTATTTCCACACTGGTATTCAGACCAGTGATACTGATACTTTCAATAAACCCAATAGCAAAATAAGGGCTGGATCCTGACCTTCTTGCAGGATCAAATCCCAGGTGTTTACTTTTATTGTTTAGTATATCAGAACTATTCAAGCCCATTAGACCTTCAAAAATGGGGTGCTAGGAAGCCACAAATCCATTGAATCATAGAATATCAGGGTTGGAAGGGACCTCAGGAGGTCATCTAGTCCAACCCCCTGCTCAAACCAGGACCAATCCCCAGACAGGTTTTTGCCCCAGATCCCTAAATGGCCCCTTTAAGGATTGAACTCACAACCCAGGGTTTAGCAGACCAATGCTCAAACCACTGAGCTATTTCCCCCCGAATATGAGTCATAGATGCTCAACACCTCACAGGCCCAAAGTATGCTTTATTTTAAAGGACAGACATGGCCAGAAATGCAGAAGAATTCAGAGTCGCTGGGACTGAGACTCATATGAGAGAGACTGAGAAAGCACTTACAAATTAAGTGCCTAATCTAAAGCTCAACAAAGCCAATGGGAAAGACTCCCATTGACTTTAATGGGCTTTGGATCAGACCTTAAGACTTTTAAAAAAAATTAAAATCATGTGGCATAACTAGGACATTAAAAGACTTAACTAGATAGCTATTTTTTATTTCCACATGACTTCTGCCATGTGTGGCTCATTAAGAACCATTTAATATATTTGCCAATCCAGCCATGTGATGCTCCCTATTTATATATAACTTCTGAGTTATTTCCAAGACTTATAATAATTTTTATTTTATTTTTTCTTACCATCTCAGGCAAGAACTACCTAAACTATCTCACTAGGGAAATGTGTGATTGGTAATCAAAAAATAAGTGTGTGTGATTTTCACGTTGAATGAAATGTCTATGCATTTAGCACGTGTAACAAATGAAAGAAAGAAATACCTTAAAGAGAAAAATAAAAATAAAAGGGAGTGCCTGGGAGTCTGAGAGTGAGGGTATCCTTTTATATGATGCAGTTAGATCTCTGACTGAAAGAGAATATGTACGCATATGCATAAGGATGCGGATAACGCTGAGCAGGGGTATTTCCAGAACTTACGCAGTGTATCTGTGTGCAATAGGATATGGGAGAGATTGGGAAGTCTGAACTTAAGCTCTCTGTGTGACCTGCTGTTTGTGATTACGTGCCTGGTTGGAACATTTTCGACTAACCTTTTTCCACTGAAATATGCTGCTTTGTTGAAGCTGAAATGTTTTACAAAGACGTATAAATTCTGACCAAGTTTTCATCAGGAAAGTTTCTGAGGTTCAGGGTGGACTCTCCAGTCACTTTCAGAGAAATGAAACCCTGACCTTTCCAATCCGAAGACAAATGTTTTGATACAATATCTGTTTTGTGAAAATGTTGGAAACGTTTTGGTTTCATTCCAATGCAGAACGAAAACAAATTTCAAAACCTGGAAAGCTGTCAAGAAATGGAATAATCATCCTGCAGCCAGCTCTATAAGTGAGGCAATGTACTCCAAGTTGGGAGCATAGGGATGTCTTAGTGTTTGTCTACACTGCAGCTGGGGGTGTGATTTGCAGCTCCCATTCACGTACCTGTGCTAGCTGTACTCTAGCTAGCTTGCTAAAAATAGCAGTGAGGATGGGCTTCAGCATGGGGTGCACAAGTCTGTCTGACCTTCCTGGGTACAGACTCGCTTGTGCAGGTGATGCAAAGCCCACACCAGCACATCCTCACTGCTATTTTGAGCTAGCTAGAGTACGGCTAGCATGGGTATGTCTTCATGAACAGCCATTCACACCCGTACCTGTAGTGTAGATGTACCCTTAGGGAGGGGGAGAGGAGTCAAAATCTCTTCACCAGGTATGTTGGTGCTCATGGATACGGAGTGGTGTGTGCAGTGAGCAGGGTGTACATAGAAGTATCTCCATTGTGGCTGCCAGTGTGTGACAGCTACGTGTGGGTGTGCATTTAGGTACAGATGCAGACCCATCATCTGCAGCTAGAGAGGGTCTCATAACGGGAGGGGACAGGATGCAAGAAGTCTCACAGAGCACACATGCCCTCTGAAGGGCTCTCTTGGTGGGACAGGGTAGGGGTAGGCTGGGGAGAATGGAGGGACCAGCTGATCCACTACTGTACGGATCCTTCAGACTGCCACAAAATCATTGTTTGACAGTTGAAGAATGCTCAGACTGATAAGGAAGAAGTAGTGTTTTCCCACTTCTAAAGCAGTATTCCATAACACGGAGGGCACAGCAAAAATGGAAACGCCCCAGTTAGGTAGTATCACAGAAGGAAAATGTTTGGTTGTCTCATTCTGGCAAAAGTATTTTCTAGTATATTTTACCAACTCTGGGAAACTGTTCCTTATTATTCATATAAAAGAGGAACATCATTGCTAATGTGGCATTGCCTATTGCTCTGCGTATGTTGCAATGTGATTAACTGTTTTCCTATCTTGTTTGCATTCATGGAGATAAGTTATAAAACCAGTGGAGGAAGAACTCTCTAGAAGGGATTAGTAAAAGAAATGCAAAAATTCTTTTGAGAGAGAATTGTGAGCACTGTGATTGCCTTTCTGTTCATTCCTCTGAAGCACCTGGCCACTGTCGGAAGACAAGATACTGGGCTAGATGGACCATTGGTCTGACCCATTCTTATAGCCTACTGGATCTCAGTAGTACTGGGTGTACATTCATAAATGGTGCAACATACTCAAAGCAGAATTTGAACCCACGTCACCTGTGGTGAAGTAAACTACTCCTAGCTAAAAATCACACAATTTTTAAATATTTCCTGTGCACACAGAAGAAATTAGGCTAGCATATAAGTAGTCTCTGACCTGCTGCAGTGTTGGCTGGTTGTCTGGTGTAGGATACATTAAAAGTCGGTTCTTCTACGAGCGGTGGAGGGTACATCCGCCTTCTGATGAAGAAACCAGCTCCGCAGCAGAACAGAACGCCCATCATCAGAAGGAACCTGAGCAAAAGAAGGAGGAAAAGTCAAACTTGGACATGGCGTCCATCTAAATGCAGGGCCCCAGGGAGCTGGGGTTATTCAAAAATTCATAGATAAGAGAAAGCAAGATCATTACCCTTTAACCATCAGCTCCCATATGCTGTTATCAGGATTTTCTGAAAATATTATTCCTTGAAAGCAGGACTGCACAAGCTGAGATACCGGTGTATGGCAGCATGTAGTTGATATTTCTATAGTGACTGAGAAGATTTTGTTCTTAGGAGTGTTTTTGTTCATATAGTAGTTTTCCACTGTATTTTCTCTTATTAGCTTACAGGAACAATAGTGATTAGGCCAGCAGAACTGGGAGAATACTGTCTTCTTCCCCTAAATCTGGGGTTATGGGCTCATCTGTCCCCTTCTGCCACCTCTTTACCTCACCTAAGATTTGCTTGGATCAGAATTCCAAATAATATTGATGGAAATAAATGACTTAGGTCCACGTGCCCCTTCTGTGGAACAAGGTTTTACCAGAGGGGATTTCTTTGGAGCATAGCCATGCCATTCCTTAAACTGACCAGAGGGGTCACTGTTGAACAACACAAATACTCCTCTCTCAGCCCAGATGCTAAGTAGATTTGCTCTTCAAGGCTCCCTTCTGGCTGATGGAGAGAAGGGCTGAAGGTACAAAAGTTGCGTGGCAGCATAGATCACTGGATGCGATGGGCCAAATTCTAAACTGGTGTAAAGGAAAGCAGAATTTTGTCCCAGCATCACCAAGCCAACATTCATAAATTCCCTTTTGGCTCTGTTATCTGAAAGTGTTTATCCTGAACATAATGGCTGAGATTTGCAAAGCTGTCTTCAGATGCAGACATCACATTCATTTAAATGCGAACAGTGCATCTAAATCTCCTATGCAGCTTTGAAAATCTCAGCCTATATATAGTTTAAATGTTAACTATATAAAATATCCAGGCAGGAAATGTGGTTGTTTCTAGGGTTTTCTTAAAATGAGGCAAGTATAACTTGTTCAGAAACGTGTTCAGAAAAAAAGAAGTCCTAACCTACCAAAAATACCAGAGTCGCTGGATAGAGAGGGCTCTTACGCAGCATCTTGACCCACAGCAATCTTCATAGGAGCGACATCTGCATAGGAATAAAGAGAAAAGGACATTTTGGGAGTGTTTGTCACTTAAAGTAAAAATGCATCATATCAAAATCTGGCTCCAAGGGGGGAATATAAACTCAACAGTAAAATCTCTATCAAATCCAGTTATTGTAAACTGACAGTACAGCATCTAAACACGGAGACAGAGGAGTCAATGACTCAGATGTAATTAGATTCACGGCCAGGGGCATCATTTATGACCTCACAAATCTGGAAGGAAAAATGTTACATTGTTGCCATGGTGGCACAAAGCACGGCTGGGGTTCTCTCAAAGCAGTGAGTGGTTCTCCACCTATTTACCACTGTGGGCTGCATCTGCAGCTCTCTGTGTGCTACGTGGGCTGCATCCGCACAACACATATACTACCTGTATGGCCCTGAGGATGTCACATTGGCTGCAGCTGCAAGAAGCCCGCGGGTTGAGAACCACTGCTCTAGAGAGTGGAAACACTGCTAATTTGGAGCTGTAAAGAACCAGCATTAATATCACCATAGATAGTTAACAGAGGTCCTGATTGTCCTCTCAACTGATACTGGGCTTACACCACTGATGTCCTTGGAGTTGCTCTGACTTACACCAGTGTAAAAATCAGACCCATGACATCAGTGTCACTTGAATACAAAGTTACACACACACACTCTGTGAATAGTAATCTGTATCCAACTCCTACAGCCATAACTAGGCAATAGTCCAATTGACTTGAGTAACTACTTGCTAAGGATTGGAGTATTCAGTTACTAGTTCATATGTTCAGACCTGTTGTACAGGTTTTTTTTGCAATTCATAATATTGCTGCACATTATTCAAACAGCCTTCTTCTATTCCTCCCTTTTAAGTCTCCTAAGATGACTTGTTGGAGCATTTAATTTTATACAGTGGAGCTTGTTGAAGACCAGTGGTTTTCAACCTGTGGTCTTCGGACCCCTAGGGGTCCGCAGACTATGCCTAAGGGGTCCACGAAAGGTTGTCATTACCGTAGAACAGCGGTTTTCAACCTGCGGTCTGCAGACTATGTCTAAGATTTCCAAAGGGGTCAGCACCTCCATTCGAAATTTTTTAGGGGTCAGCAAATGAAAAAAGGTTGAAAACCACTGTTGTAGAGGAAAGCAACATTGCTGCATTTCATTCCAGCACGGGAACAATGCAGACACTGAATGTCAAGCAGTTTGGATTTTGTTCACTGGCAACAGATCAGAAGTACAAGTTCACAGCAGTGAGATCACTGATCCTTTGCAAACGGGCAGACTAAACCTTCTTGTATTATTACCATATCTGCAAATTAAAAAACCTCGTAACATTATTTTTGCTTCTTAGAGTGCAAAGCTGTTAGGAGAAAAATAGGGGGGGAAAAATCCCCAAACCCACAGAGTTCATTCCATGCAGCTTTTTCTCCAATGAAACTTGGAAGAAAACCCCATTAAAGACTCAGGAAAAATAATCATTTCATTTATACTGTTTTATTAAATGAAAAAAAGAAAGTGATACACTTGAACTCCCAGCCAAGATTTTTCAATAGTGGATTTCAAAAAGCCAAGAATCCCATGCCATGCATTTAACTAGCAGACTTTCTCCCATAAACACATGTCAATCTAACATTTTATATGGAAAAAACAGTTTTGAAAATATTTTAGCCCTATCCATTGAAAGGGTAAGGAAATGTCACTAATGCTGAAGCCAGAACGTGTGTTCACGGGTGAACTCACGAGCAGCTTTTGCTGCGGCTGCCACTTCCAGCAGCAGCAAGGAAAGTAGCCAGATGCTAAAACGGAAAAAGGACAGAGATAACATAGAAGCTTTGATACATGGACAGCCTAAGGGGTTAGCTAACAAGATTTACCCTCGGATGGGAATATGATTAAGATTGCCATAGCCAGATAAGACAAGAGGAGAATAATCAGCAACTGCATTGAACTGCTTTAATATGCCCAATATATGTATCTAATTTGAGCCAAATTTTCAAAAAGCTAGCAGAAGTAGAAGTAGGTTTGTGCTTGTGCACCCACATTTGCATGTAAAAAAACAATTGGTTAACTGCATGCACAATTACCCATTTACATGCTCAATTAACAAATCTGCATTCACAAATGCAGGTGAATGCACATAGGCTTCAGGCTCTGCTGTTTGAAAATTGGCTCCCTTGTCCTTAGGGATTATTTCTGAGTCGATGACATGCTACGACAAAGGAGAAGAGGAGGATGCTATTAGATGTCAGAGAATTTAAAATACACAAAGAGCAACTGTAATGCAAGGGAATGTAGTAGAACAGTTTTCCAAAGACTCTGCCGAAGTTTCTCGGGCAAGCCAGGGAGTCTGAAACATCAACCAGCTGATAATGCCTAGTAGGATTTTTAGAAGATCCTAGGTGCCAAACTCCCATTGGAACTGGGTGCTTAAATGGGATTGTCAAACATCCCAAGTTGCCAAGTCCAATGAGAGTTAGGATCCTAGGCTGTTCTGGAAAAATCCTACTAGGTGCCTATCTGCATCTTTAGGTGCTGCCACTAAAATGTAAAGAACCTATCAAGAATAGAGAAAAGTATTTTTTTCTTTATTCTTTCAGCTTGCTTACTTTTAGTATTAGATAGCCCTTTGTGTATTGTCATTAGCTAGTCATTTTCCCTTTTTGTTTGGATGGGTTTTTCCACACAGCAAACGGGGACGGACACACATTTTTAGAACAGGAAACTATGATTATTAAAACCACAAAAATTGACAGAGGGTCTCTAGGCCAAGTGTAATGCCCCAAACAACTTTTAATTCTTTTCTCTTTAAACTGACAGGGTTTCAAGTTGGCAGTGTCTCTTTTACTTCTCTGTACCTCAGTTCTCCTACAGGTAAAACAAGGATAAAAAGAGGGAAGAAGGGAGGCTTAATTTATGAATGTTTATAAAGCAGTTGAGATCCTTCGATGGAATGTTCCACGGGTCTGCACAGATCCATTCTGTCCCCTGCATGCACAATTGTTAGTGTGTGTGTGTAGTTATCAACTTTTTTTTAAAAACGCATGCATGCTTATTGCGCAAAGTTGCATGTGCACAAAAGGAGGCCAGGTTGACGGCCCTCTGTGACTCAGGACCTTTACGTCAAATCTCTATTTCAAAATAGCCATTAAGCTTTCTGAGGCAGCTCCTCTGAGGACAATTATTGTACTTTCTGCTTGGTTCTCTGAAAATGAACTAATATATTGATTTAGGAAAGAATCTCTAAAACACCTGGCACCACAAGAGCATTCACTTTTTCCTCATAAAAAAAAGAGGATCCATTTAATATTGATTTTTTTTTAAAAGAATGAACAAATATATACAGAATGTTCTTAAATCAACAGGGTAGTGTACGTGCAATTGTTCGCATTTTCCACCACTTCACAGCAGTGCCAAAACATTGAAAAATCAATGTTTTATTTGCTGCTATTGCTCTTAAGGTCCTGCAGAAGGCTAGCTAATCCTTTGCTATTAGTGTTTGGATGCAACTATAGAATCATTCTAACACTTTCACTGGCTCAATTAATATTTAATTATTGAATTAAAGTGGAATAACTTCCATAGGAGACTGAGGGAGACTCACATCAGAATATCCCACAGTCTGGTAGTTAGGGCACTCACCTGAGAGGTGGCTGGTCCTCGTTTAAATCCCTTCTCCCCTTCAACAGAAAGGAAGACTTGACCCAAGGGCCTCACATCCTGGGTGAGTACCTATTCACTAGATGAAAGGTTATAAGAGAGCTCCTCCCCCACCAAAATTTCTCACTGCGAGCCTCTTTCAACACCGATTTCAAATGAGGATAGCATTCTCCTTCACTTCTCTCTAAGTTATTGTGTAACGTGTTGCTAAACAGTTTCCGAGGCCTGGTCTACACTTAAGCGCAGGAGTCTACACTTAAAAAGTTTGCCCGGCATAGCAATGTTGGTTAGGAGTGTGAAAAAAATCCCACCCCTAACTGACATGGCTATGCCAGCAAAAACCCTAGGGTAGACATAGTTATACTGGCAAAAAAAAAAGTCATTTTGTTTATTTTGCTTATTCCATTCAGGGAACGGGTATAAGCTATCCCAGCAAAAACTGTGTCTCCATGACACTGGCAAAGCCTTTCTAGAGTAGACAAGACCAAGGTACACTCCAGAGATGCTGCACTCCACTGGTAGATGTAAATTATTTCTGTGCATATCATGGGTAAGGTCTGTAAAGCTCACTGGGATTCTTTTTAATATAAGGGATCATGATAATAGGCTACAGATGGGTGAAAAACATAAAGGGAAGGAGAGAAATTATTTAAGATAGGAAAGGGACTTGAACTAGGACTAATGGGATGAAATTAAGAAAGGGTGAAGTCAGGGAAAGATTTTTGGAAAGTGCCGTCGATGAGGCTGTGGAATAGTCTCCCAAGGGAAGTAGAGAAATTCCCATCACAGAGGAAATTTAAAAGTAGATTGGCCAAGACACTAGTATTGGCAGGAAGATGGACTGGATGAACTGGAGGGCTTGTCCATCTCTACACTGGGTGATTCAATGATCACACTTACTGCAGCTCAGACAGAAGGCTCTGGTCTGCCGCTGAGAGATGGAGACAGGTAGCAAAAACGTGTATGTTTGTGTAATGAAAAAAAGTCAGAAAATGCATTTACTTAAATAAATCCAGAGAGGATCTAGTCTATGTAGAACTCAGCCATGCCAGGCGGTAGCCATGGTGAGTGGAAAAAACAAAGTGAGTAAATGAAATGAGAAAATGATTAATGTTACAGATTGCAAAATAACAAATGTGACCGACAAGCAAAGACAACAGACAGAGATTAGCAGTCTGGTTCTGATCTGACTTCTGTAAATTAGGAGCAAGTCCCATGTAAAACTGTCTTCAAACCAGAATCAGGCCCTAAGGATATGAAGGGCAGGGGGTTAATAAAAGATCTTTTTTCTCACAGACAGACTGGTGAATAGCTGAAATATGTAAAGGAGTAAGTATTTTACCAAATTTATTCCACT